CACAAGGAAATTACCTGGCAAGTAGAATTTGAGGAATTACTGCTGGAAAAGGGAAAATATCTTAATTTGTCAGCAAGAAGGAAAATTGTTTTAAAGGTGCTTTTCTTTTCTGCTAGTTACTTCGTGGTGATAATTGTCGAAGAGAAATTCTGACAAATTAGCTCGTTGTGTAACGTGAATGCTAAATTTTAAAAATAATAATAATTTGAAAATACTTCTGAGGCGTTGCCTGAAAACGAATTGATTGGAACGAAGCAATCTCTAGAATAATTTGAAAACTATGTCATTTTTACATAAATTGCTTTTTTAGTCTGCTTAGTTAACGAGATTGTTCCTTGAATGATCTGAAGATGATCAAGAGTGAATCAATCTCAAGGCGGAGCTCCAGTGTGCGTGTCGAAACAGCGGAGCACCATGGGTGGGAGAATTTGGTAACCCATCAAGCCGGGAAAATTTGGTTATGAAGTCACCGTACGAGCAACCGTCCATCAGTCCGTAACCCTAACTCTTAAAGACTCTGGGGGATGGGGGAGGAGTCTCGAGTTAATCCTAGTGGGGGAGCACAAGAATGTCATCTTTATTTCTATTGTTATGACAACAAGCGATAGCGGAGCTAATATATCGTTTTCATGGTAGGATTTAACTGAAACAGAACGTGAAAGAGAACGGCAGGGACCAAGAATCAACAGGCAAAGTAGACTTTCAGAAAAGTCCTTCGTCTTGCTTATTCATTACCTGCTGGACGAAGGACTTTTCAGACTTGATTGGCGCCAATTTTAGCGACCCCAAAACGGGTCGCTGCGCTTTTTCCGATCAGTGTTGCCATAAACATCCCTTGGGGACAGAACGGTCAAACATAGGCGCAACGAAATGTGACTTGCGGTTGCATTTAGTCAATTCAATGTATGGGGTGAAATGCTTAGTCGCACTGTCGAGTAGATGTCAATGATTAGTATTTTATGGGAGCTCCGCTTTTATCACATATTCTTCCTACTGGAGGATGAAGCGCATAGACCGGCTACATAACTTCCACGGCGCGATTCTTCGATAATCATGCGGCCACCATATTAGCTATTTGCCTGCGGTTTCTCGACACAGTAGATTGCTATGCCATGCGAGGCATCATAAAATGTTTCACTAAGAGCCCCGTCAATTGAACTCATGATTTTAAAAGCACCTTTATTGATATTGCAGCCGTTGCTAAATCCTTGTTTGAGGGTGACATCGTTTTATCTGCCTTTGACCGGAGGTTCGTGGACACCCGAGAGGA